TTCCTACCTTAATCATAATAACTAGTACTTGAAAAAAAATGAAGAGAACAAAAGAAATCATCTAAATAACACAAACATTTCCTTCATTAGATTTATGCAAATGGGAATCAAGGAAAGAAGTGGTCTATGGCCAACCTTTGAGGATTGGAAGGCTAAGACACAAATACTTTATGTTTTCTTTCAGGTGTCATATTAGCAATTTACACTGTTCTAAAAATTAAATTAAGGAGCCATATGAAATAGACTTACAGTTCAATATTTAAAAATACTTTTAGGTTTTTGTGCAGCATAAGAGAATAGCATATACTTGGTTATTTGTACCAGTTTGGGAAATTTGGTCTGGAATAGCTCAAAATCATTATTATTCAGCTGGTGACTAATAATTGAGTTTGGTGCATAATGTAGGTTTGGAAAAAAATAATGAAAATTTCTAAATGTGCCTCATAAATAAAAACATGTTGTCAACAGTAATTCTGAACTATATCAGTTGTAAGTATTTTATATAATAAAAGCTATTTCCATTTCAGCTTATAAGAACTCTATTTTATGCTCAAAATACATATACATTTTAAATTAAACAACTATTTGCTGTATCTCCTTGTGCATACTACTAGAAACTGGGGATACAGCTTTGAACAAAACAGAAATAAGCCTTACCTTAATGAAGCAGACCAGTTAAGATGACCTATAGAGCATTCATGGGAAAAGGTAACTTTCATTTAGTCAGTATATAATTAAAATTAGGAACTATAGCAGAAGTTAACTTATTAATGTGGCAACAAACTCCATGGTACAGTTTTCCCCCAGGTGCATCTAATAAGTATTCATTGGGTAACTATTGCCTAGGTTTGATGAAACAGCGATGGAAAATATTTCTTGCCTTCATGAAACTTAGTTTAATTATAGTTCAGTTATAAATAGTGTGTTATATATAAGTTAAATTTGTCATAGTGGAGACTAATGTAGATTACAATTTACTTTAAACATAAAAAGATTCATGGCATATTTTACTCACTTTCATGCATTAATCTAGTAGGAAATGTTTGAGACACAAACATATTTAAGTGTTTAATGGAATTTTTCAGTAATGAAATGATACTTTTTAACAGAATGTCATATCTAATGTATCTTACCATATTTAAGCATGACATTTATTAAGAAGAGGCAGCTCTGTTTTGTGAACTTGCCGGAAATATTTTTATATAATATGATAAGAAAACTCATAGCAGTTTTTTTCTACCAATTGATTAAATGACCAAGAATCTATTTATGTCTCTCTTAATTTTCTCGGATATATTTTCTACCGTGGAAGTGAAATACAATAGAATGAGATTACATTGAGCTCATTCACTTTTTCAACATCCTTTTTTATTTTGATTCTTTGATTCTTTGAGCTCTTCCAGGTTTTATGCATTTTTGAGTATCAGTCAAATTTATGCCACATTTGCCTATATTTTTCAGGATTGGAAATTTTCTCTTTTGTTCTGCACTTAAAATTTAATTATTAGTTACTTTATTTCATGTTATTGGGAGGGAAAGTGTTCATATAGCAAGGGTGATTCCTTCTAATACACCTTTAACAAAACTTATGAAAGCAACTCATCTTGTGTGTTTAGATAGAGCTAAATATAGGGAGATAGCTTACTGCTGTTTTATGGAATAAATATCTTACAAAGCATTTCTCTTTATTAACTCTATTCTTTAAAAATACAGTCCAATATCCTTAGTTAACCAAGGCATAAGAGACTTTAGACATCTCTTCCATCAAGTAAATGGTGTATATCTCTAAGAACTTTCTTACTACCCAGAATCTATTCCCTAAAATTTTCTTAGTCCAGAAATAAACCTAATAAAATATTTTCTCACCAAATTATTAACATTTTGAAATTTTTTAAAGTTATCAAATTAAAGAAAAATTTTAAATGTATAATTGCAATTGTAACATAATTTCTTGAGAAATATTTACATTATCAAGTTAATCAAAAGAGAATGAAAGACAAAGTGTACATTAAAACTCTTCTGTGAATGTCAATGCAAATATACATTCTTTGTGTCGTTTTTGACATTCAAAAGCAGAATAGGATGTATACCAAAAAGATAAAAGACTACTGGCCGGGTAGGGGGATACACAGATACACAAATAAATTATCTAATGTTAAAAGTTAGAAATTTATAAACGTTCCAAACCAGAATTGCTAGCAGATGCTGGTTTTTGGATTTGTGATGCAAGAAGTATGATCTACATTGATCATGATTATATCATGATTATACCTCAATTTGAAATTTTTACATGTAAGATTATACTTAAAGCATTATCATCTCTTTTCCAAATCTCTTTTCCAAGTATAAGCCAAGCATTTTCACAGAATATGTCTAAGAGACAAATGTCAGCAATGCTAACAGATTAATATTGTTGAAGAAAGGGATTTGATAAGATTAGTATTCAGTATAATATAATTTATTTTAAATTTTTTGATAGGATGTTGGAGATGGATCCTGTGTTTCTTCAGCATGAACAATTTGAATTAAAATGTGACTCCTGAAAAATACAGATATTTCATAATGTTTGAGCTATTACCTTTCTCTTTATGTTTTTTAAAAGTAAAATGTTTCCAAATGTAGACTGAAAAATAGCCATCATTTCCTGGATAGCAGTCAGGATCTCCTTTCTTTATCATCTAATGAAGAATTATTCCTAGAGCTGGAGAGCGTCACCTAATGTCTCATGAGAAAGCTATTAGTATGAGATTGTCACACTTCTTAGATGGAAGCTTAATGCCAACATTAATGTAGAAATCCATTTTCACAATTTTCTTTAGGTTTTACATCTCCCGTCTGCTTTGATGAAAGTTGTATGGTTAGGTCATGAAAAATAATGAACTGAGTTTTAGAAGTAGAAAGATGATCTAATTTCTTTTTGTTTCTTTTTTCACCTCTCCTGAGAAAATGGAAGCAATAGTCAGTGAAAGGATTGATGATGAGAACAGGTCTGATTTTAAATGTGGAAAGCTCTGCAAGATCAACATTAATCTCGTGGGTTTTAAACATGCAATGTTGGAAGACACTTTGGATGTGCCCACCAATCTTGCTTCCACAAGCACTCATCTGTAGTGCCAGATATTCCATTCATTCTTTTATCTCCCTCTTTGTTTAAGGTGACTTTTAAAAATTTGGCTTGGTGTACTACACAAATGAGATGATTTCATCTGTGCTACTATGGGAGACAGAGTTGGTTGCCTTCCCAATATTCATATCTCTCTCCTTCCTCACTAACACCCCTACTAGTTTTTTTTTTCCTAATTGTAATACGGCCCTACAATGTTGCTTCCTCATCTCTTGTGAAATAGTCATAGTACATTGTTCTGTCCAATAAAATGCAGATATAGTTCTTAAAAAGAGCATCTTTTTGCAATATAGAATGTCAGAATTTCACTAGGAGAAAATCTCTTCTGTCTTCATCCTGCCTTCACTTCAAATCAGATATTTTTAACACAGCAGCCATTTTGTGCCTAGAATGAATACAACCAACATGCAGGGTGGCAGAGCAGGAAGTCGGCATCAAGGAGTAGCTAAACTAATATCTACAATCACCACCTTAAGGTTTCTTATTCTGTAAGAAAATATAATTTGTATCTGTATAACCTACAGTTTTCATTTTAAGTTGAAACTGACCACTCAATGGACTGATGCATGATTATTCTAAAATATATTTTCTTGCACAAGGAGGAGGAAATGAGGTAAATATTAGGCAGGAAGATGCTATTCATATTTACAGACAATTTTGTAAAAAAATAAGAAAATTTTCAGAGGGAATATTTTATTTTATTTTATTTTTCTGAATGACTTTAGCTATCTGGAAAAGAATTCATGTATGTGATAATCAGACATTATTCACAGGGGACAAGTTAATTAAGCCCAGTTTTGCTCATGCCCATGTTCCAAAGTATCGAAGAGTTTTTTATTTTCTTTTTCTTTTTTTTTATGATGCAGATGGACACAATACATTTATTTTTATTCATTTATTTTATTTTTTTAAAAGAGAATCTTTTTTGTAGATGGACACAACACAATGCCTTTTTTTTATGTGGTGCTGAGAATCGAACCTGGATCACACCAGTACTAGGCGAGTGCTCTGCCGCTGAGCCACAATCCCAGCCCTATTCATTCATTTTTATGTGGTGCTACAAATTGAACCCAGTGCCTCACATGTGCTAGGCAAATGCTCTACCACTGAGTTATAATCCCAGCCCAATATCAAAGAGTTTTTTTCAGCAGATATTGCTTTATGTTATTCCTAATGAATAATTAACAATTCTATTCACTCAGTTTGAGATGACAAAGAGCATAGTTGTGATAGAAGCATTAATTTTAACTTCCATGTCAGACTAATTACTCACCAACTGACTCCAGGCAATGTCATATTTACTGAAAAAGCCTCTTGGAACAAACATTTAATGATTTGCATGAAAAGTCTTGAGATGGTTCACATTCTATGGCATTGGTATAGCATTTTGTGGAAATTTATTTTAAAGACTAAACTGACATAAACTTTCACATGATAAGACAAGAAAGTTTCAATTTAATAATTGGTGTTTAATTTGTACTCTGGAATATTATATTCTCATTGAAATAATAATCAATTGCCACTCATTGTTTACTATATAATATTAAACCAAACTAGCAGATTGTGAAATATTATAGACAATACTAGTCCAATTGCAGGGAGCAGAAAATTAGGGAAGAAACTAATAATATATATGTCAACATGTTGAAAGTGTTTCTCTTTCAATGTTAGGATTCAATGGTTATTGTTTTCGTCTGCACTTTTCAATCTTTTCACATTTCTGCAAATGTGATGCAGTGAAATATATTAAGCTATCTTGGTGATTAACAGTGTAGCTCTAATTCAGCATTGAAAAAATGTGAGTAAACTATATTTATTGACTACTTTTTCATCAACAAGCAATTTACCAACAAATTTGTTTGTTTATTCACTGCAGAAATTCTAAATGGTGGAGTCTATGTAGACCAGAACAAATTTCTTTGTTACGCAGACACCATTCATTGGCAAGATATTGTTAGAAATCCATGGCCTTCCAATTTGACTCTGGTATCAACAAACGGAAGCTCAGGATGTGAGTACCATTATCTCTTTTATGTCTCAAAATGTTCTTTTATGTCATGTGAAAATGATCAACTTATTTTTATCATGCCATTAATAATATTTTGAACTTGGGTTGTATTGATTGAAATATGCATTTATATATCACAGAACAAATGGCCAGCCAACCTTTTAATTCTAATTTTAAAAATCTTCAATTGTGGAATGATGGTTTCCCTTCACAAATTCTCATTCTCTTACAATGGTTCCTTATTGCCCAATCTGAAACACTGAATCTTATTTCCAGTGTCCAAACATGGGCGTCATTGTCCACAAACTTAAGGCTAATGTCTAACTACTGCTTTAACTTTTATGACTCTCCCTACTGGGCAAAAGGTAGTAGAACAAAAATTTACCTTCCTATTTACTATATGTTTTTTGAACAAAATTAAAAATTAGAAAAATAAAAACTAGTGAATATTTAGAATTCCTAAGCCATCGTTTATCCCTAAAGCCATCATGTTAATATTTTATGATAATTTCACACAGTCTAAATATAGATATAAATAGTTTTCATCTAAAAGAAATGTATTTACATTCTGGGTTTTGTCTTTAGATTAATAAATTTTCTTATTCCTCATTTGAAAATGTATATTGTTTAGACCACAGAGGATTTATCAGATTTAAACTATATAATAAGTCTAAATCATAGGTAAGTAACATTTGAACTGTCATTAAAACCTTTGAAAATTATTCTCTTTGAAATCTATTTCATTTTCATAATGTAGACTGTTGTTCACACATTTATTATTACTGACATTTGAATGAGAACAGAAACTTTATCAAGAAATTACCTGGGTTTTAAATTTCTCAGCTATTATTATATATTCCCCACCTGAAATTATAACTGTCTCCACATAGTTCAATAATTATTTGCCATACTACTGATTATGTTATGATGCTTTTGCAGGAAATCAGACTCCAAGGGACAATTATTAAATTTTATGATGGGCCTAATAATATAATGTGGAAATATGAATATAGTTGATCAAAACTGACAGCTCTGTTTTTAATAAATGGCTAAAACCTTTTCTGAAAAAGTAGAGTAACATAATTTTCTTGTCACCTTTAATCAGAAATTTGTATAAGATTCTGTCTTTACAGTATTCAAGTTCCTGACTATGTAAAATACATGTGAATAAAAAATTGAATCTCCTTGCACTAACAATGCAAATGATGCACTTCAGGAAGGGCTTCCGTTTTCAGTCTGCTCATACTATGGTAGGCATTATATTGGAGAGGGAGGTGAGCATAGGTTTTGATAAGAGGAAAGGTCTATGAACTCCTCTTCGTTCATCAGAATGACTTGCCTGTAAGGCATGAATGAGATCAGGCATGAATAAAGCTTGAGACAAAAGCCAAAAGGGAAATGTGCCCACCAGCCTTACAGGATTTGGAGCAGGAAAGGTCTGAGGGGTTTACTGCACTTTCACAGATGGTATCTCTTTGTATTGTTCTTTTTGGGGGGGGGCTAATTTGGATGGTTGTGCCTATAATTAGGCAGTTGTGGCTGCACTTGTTTTTGCATACAAATAATTGCAGGTGCAAAAATTATGAATGCAGAGTGAGTTCTTAACTAGTGGTCCTTTGCAAATTAATCACCAATTGTTACCAAAGTTTTATTGCTTACATAGTGGATCTGTTTGCTGACACATCATATGTAATGCATGACACTATGCATACTGATAGTAATGAATTGGCTATACTTTAAATATTGGCTTTATCCTGCTAAAGGAAATAAGCCATTCACAAAAAGGCAAATACTGTAAAATTCCACTTATGTGAAATATTTTGAGTAGTGAAACTTAAACAGAATGTAGAATGGTCATTTTTTTTAGAGCCTGGAGGTAAGGATAAATGTAGTGGCTCTTGAATGGGTATATAGTTCCAGTTTTGCTAGATTAAAAAGTTCTTGAGATCAGTTGCATGAGACTATAACTTCTAACATCAATGAACCAAACACATAAAAATGATTGAGATGACATTTTTTATCCTATCATTTTTTCTTACTACAATTATGAGTAAATAGAAACATTACCCCATTGAAGTTCAAGCTCTCTTAAATTATAGGCACAATCCTTTTAGGAGTCATAGACCTCCTGGTTAGGAGCTTCTGTGCTTATTTTCTCTTCTTACTTCCAATCCTGGTCAATTCACCTGAAAAAAAAAGTTTGCATTTGTTAGATTTCACTCTGTCCAGTGATATGACCCTGTCTAAAACATTGCCACTGTGATTAATATAAGGTCAAGTCTAAACAAACCCCAATGACTTAGAGTTTTCAGCAAATTCCTGCCTATTATTCAACTCTATGGATTGAAATCACATTTTCTTTGTGTTTCCCTTTGTCTAACCTTTGCCAGATAGTCATGTTTTAAGTCATTCATCAGGTGCCATCTCCTTTCAGAAGCATTCCTTACTCCAGGCTAGATTAGGTATATTTTTTTTTTCTTGAGGCCCCTTAATGACCCAAGATAAAAACTGGCATTTGGTCTTACATTTTGAAATGGAAACACCTTGTGAACCTTGTCATAGCACATATCAGGTAGATAACATGTTTACTGATGAAATCAATAAATGAAAGAAATAAGTTCATATTTTAATTCATTGGTGTTGTAGTTACAGAATACTTAAGACGGGTCATTTATGAGGGATAATTCTAGAGACTGAGAAGTCCATCTGCTAACGGCTAGTCTCAACTCCAAAATGGTTCCAGAAATGGCCCCATCATACAGAAGGGAGGAGTGCTATTTCTCATAGGGCATATGGTAGCATTAATCCATGAGAGCAGAGCCCCTATCACCTTCTACCAGGCCTCACCTCTGAATAATGTTATTTTAGGGATTAAGTTTCATCATGAGCTTGGAGAAGGACAAAAATATTCAAACCATAGCAGTTTATAAATAGGAAAGCTATATGAATCCATTTTTTTATCCATCACATACATAAAAAAGAACGAGTCAGAAATAAATCCAGAGATGCTACAAAACTACTTTTGGTCTTTTTCAATAAATAGCAATATATATCTATGTACTTAATTTAATTTATATTGATATAAGCTACAAAGTTTCTATCATATATATGTTCTATTTATATTATAATCTATATATGTAATAATTATCAAGTGAAATACATGTGCTTAATTTTCCTTTGGCATTTAAAAAAGGGACATTAATGTGTTATACTTGAGAATATCTTCAGATCATACAATTTTACCACAAAGAATTTGAGAATAGTTGAGTATTAAGCCATATTGCAAAGTATTTCTTTATATATGCTTTTTGTACAGAACTAATTGTTATATATAAAAAAATTTAAGAACAACCTGACTTTTTGTTGACTATTATTTGGAGTATAATTGAAACAATGAAGAAAACATTTGAAGTATCTACAAAAACAATTTGAAATTACACTATTTCTTCAAAAATATGTGATTTAGGAATAATAACCAAGTTGTATTTTCCAGAATGTACTTGATCCAAACTTCAGGAGAGTGAGGGAGATGAGTATATTTGTTTTAATTTTATATTTCCATACAACCCTAGACACATTATGATGCTACATTCTAACATTCTTATATATGTCCATAAATATGGCTTAATAAATAAACTAAACCTTCAAAGAGTAGTCATCATACAATGAATGATGTTTCATTTACCTGGAACACTGTAATAACAACCTCTGTTACCACGAGAATATCAAAAGGATGAAAATAAGTTACCCTCTAAAAATTAAGCAAATGAAATTTATTAGAACATTCATATGGGAAAACAGACAATGATATTTCTCAATGGAGAATATTGTATAGTTAGGAGAATGGATTTGGGACCTAAACTGCCTCCTTTGAAACCTGACATTGCTGCTGACTTGCTCTTTGACCTTGGGAAAGACATTTGTGCTCCCAGTACCTCAATTTCCTCATCTATAGTGGGAGAAGGTCAAGAGCTGAGCTGAGGGCTGAGCTGCCAAACAATGGAGTGGTCAGCAATGAAGATTTTAACCCTTAATGTGATAGCATAGGCAAGAAGCTAAACCAGAGACACCACCTCCTCCTCCTGAGTCTTGTCCTCTGGAGGACATTTCAACCAAAGTGCAGAAGGAAGGCCTTGTGAAAGCCCTTGGTAAAGAGGCCGTTGGAAAGGATCTCCTGCACAGGAATGTGGCTCTGTATGAGAATGTGGCTGGTCATGGTCCCCAGAATCCTTGTCTTCAACTCCCTTTAGAGAGCAAGATACACTGCATGTGCACCAAGTCTGGTTAGCATGGGGAGGCCCACTAGAGTAAGTCTTGGCCATTCCCAGCCTCAAAAGTCAATGCTTTGGGGAAGGAGCTTTTCTAGCCACTTCATAGTGTTGTAAGGAGCAATACAATGAGTTAATACATGTCAAAGTCAGAGACTTGTTTCTTAGAGTAAAGGGGTAAAAGGCCTTCTGATTATTTTATATTCTTATGAATTGACCACGTATAAACAGAAATGTTGCTAGAATATAACAGTTTTGTTTCTAATACATATTGATTAATTCACATTGTATGTTTCTGACTTAGGAGCTTTATCTCACCAATGCACAGAAAGGAACAGACCTTAGATGTTCCAGGTTCCATAGGCCTTTTATCTGGATTTCATGGAATGCACCACACATCTAAACTGCTTTCTAAAGCCAAATGCCAAACAATGACTAAGATGGGATAGGGAATTGGCATATTCATATTCACAAGCACTATTCTAGGACTGATCATTTGTTTAAAACAGACTTTCTGCCCACATTAAAATCATTGGTTTTCAAAAATGTGCTTTTATTTTAATAACTTGAACATATGTTAAACTTGCCCCATCCTAACTAATCTAAAATTGAACTTTTGTTACTCCTTCAATATTAAAATATTTACATAAACAGAAATACTTTTCTAAGTTTGGACTTCTGTAGTAAAGTTTTTTAAAAATAGCAACAAGATGGACCCACAGTGCCTTTCAGTAC